GAATTCCATGTGGGCATCCCCCATGAATGGCAGGGACCCAGTACTCGGGATCTACACCAAGCCTTTTATCCATGTTTGCATTAGCAGGGAACTGGATTGAAAGTAGAGCAACTGGGATTTGAACTGGTGTTGGTATGGATGTCACAATGCTAGCCCCTACATTTTCTATATTCTTATTTGCTTTTTTCCCCCTTATTTATGTTCCAAGGGCTTACAGAAGCACTTAATTAAGGTTTGAAACATTTTAATTATATTTCTACCCAATTTCCCTGTATTTAATACCTCATACTTCCTATATAAGTGTGCTTTTTTTAGTCTATCTCCATACTTGTGTGTTATGTCTTCATTGAGAAATTTATAAAAAAATAAATTTATAAATAAAAAATTTACTCTTTTTGTCCTGTGTACTTCAAGTACTTTTCATTATTCTCCTGGTTTTCAAAACTAACACATGCTTCATTTTTTTGAAGTTTTATTTAGTTTATTCATAAAATCACATATTTCTTTTCTCAGATATGGCTCATACAAAAGAGTTACAGTGAAAATTCAGTGGATTATGCTTTGTATAAAATCTTTATGTTGCTTCAATTTCTTTTTTTTTTTTCTTTTTTTTTTCTTTTGACAATCCTTACATATTTAATTGGGGTAAAAAAAGGTTCAAGGCCTAAAGGGGGATATAGAGGAAGAAGCCCCACCCAGTTTCCCACCCACCCTAAGTCCCGGATGTGGGGCATGCTCTGAGATACTCACTCAAGTGGTTCCAGTAGTTCACCATTCATGGGTCGCTGCCAGTCTCGCCACTCCAAGCACGATGTGGTCATTGAAGAGTCCATTGATTGACACAGTCCCTTCTAGAGTCTCCATTTGCCCAGTATTTTGCTGCCAACAGATAGCTGAGGTTGTTGCTTGACTTGTTCTGTCTTTTCTTGGTTAGGACTCTGAGTCCGGTGTCTCGACTGGGGAGATCCTCAAAGAAATTTTGAGGTATTCCCAGTCCAGATTCCTGCGTGTTCTAGTAAGCATAGGGCCCGGCACAGTCCATTGCCCCGATCAGCTGGTGGTTGCAGTTGCTGGGTCGGTTCTGTCTCCACCCGTGTCCTCTTGCAGTCCGGCCTGGTTCCGCCCTGGACACACTTGGCCCTCGCACGTACCAGTAGGAGTTGCAGCCCAGTCAGGGCGGCCCACAGTAACCCCAACCAGGCCCACCCCCTACCCTGGCTTGCCAGTATGTATGGCATACTAGTCCAGTCTGTCCCAAATACCCTTCTGTTCATATACTTGCCAACAGGTGTTGCAACCTACTTCCATCCAACCATCTCATCCAACCGTCCCCAATGGATGTTGTTGGGTGTCTGTCTAGCCACCCCAGCCCCTGTCCTAGTTCCCATGCCCTCCCGTGGAAGGTGATGACCCACGAGGGAGGAGCTCACTATTTCCCTCCCAGGTTGCTCCCATTCCAGTTGTGCCCTCTCCAGTTGGCCCTGTGGTTCAACTCAACGTGTCTAACCCTTTGTACCAGCTTCCGCCAGCTGATGCTACAACTAAGCCCCAACAACCCTCACCAACTCTGATTGTAGCTTGCACCAGTGGGAATAGTCAGCCCAGCCTGGTTTTCACCCAATCTGGTCCACATGAGGTGCACAGGTGCTGTGTCCCTGCCTGGTCTGGTCTACCCCCTACCCAGCTCATGCTCCTCAGTGTAAGTTGCTGTTCAGCTAGGGAACCACCCCTTATTCCCCTGTCAGCTCTGCCTCCTCCTTTCCTGGTTCTCACATGTGCTGGTTGGGTGCTGCGGCTGCATCCGGCTCAGGCTACCTCACCTTGGCATTCCAACTTGTGTGTTGCTTTTGTCACGACCGGACCTGGTTCGACCCACACTCTGTTCTGGCATTCGGATTTACCAGTGGATGACATGAACAGATTCAGCCTGGTCTGCCCCCGACCCATGCCAAATGCATGCCAGTGGGACACTTTCTATGACCTCTTGGCTGTTACCTTCCATGTTCCTTGCGCTGACCTGCAGGGTCTGTGTCCTGCCAGAGGAGTTGCCCGAGCTCCTCCATCAGAACCCCTCCATGTGCCAGGTTTTGCGCATACCAGTGGGTCCATGTGCCAGTTTGCCTCCTGTCCTAGCAGGAACAGTGGCCTTTCCTAACTGGCCATCATCCCATTCTGGTTCTTGCTGTAGAGTGTTTCAGCCCAGCCACGGTCGTCCACACCCCCATATAGCTCGTATATGGCTCAGTTGAGGTTGGGACCTAGCCTAGTCCGTCCCACATCTACCCTGGTACTCCAAAGCACCAGAAGGTGTTACGGTCTGGCCTGGCCCGGTACGTCTTTTTCCAGTCCACACTTGTGCCAAGGGAGACGACAACTGTATCCAGACCCGACCGCAGCCCCATCCACCTGTCACGACCCCTGCCTTAGACACTGTGGCTCAACTCTGTGCTTAATGTGGACCAGTTGGAGCCAAAACCAAGCTGGGCATGTCCTGTGCTGCACCCTGTGTTCCAATCATGTTTGTGGACTAAGGTTTGCTTAGTCCGAACATTCAGGTCTCAGTCCCACACTTGCATTAAGGTTTCATGTCCCGGTTCCTGGGAATCACCAGAAATTAGTGTCTAACCTACGCTAACGCTGGTCTTACTTATGGGTGTCCCTAAGCAGCTATTTCATATCATCAAAACCCCAGAGCTCGCCGCTGGGCGGCCAGCAGGCAGAGCCTGGCACCACTTGGTGCACTGGCCGCCCAAGGCCGGGGTCTCTGTCCCTGCCTTGCGGCAGGGACTGTGGCCGAGACCCTGGCGGGGTTCCGTCCAGCAGAGGCGCCCCCGACAAGTGCCACCTTGATGGGGGGTTAAGCCTGCCCCTTGTCCTGAGACTGGACCCGCCCTACCTGTCCTGCCACCAGCTTTTGGCTGGCGGGGACAGGGGAGAGCTAGGAATTTACCCCCAGCTCCCAGCCATCCCCCGTGGGTACTTACCCACGAGGAGGCTTTAGGTGCTCCCGGGCCAGGAGAAGGCCGGGGTCTCTGTCCTAACACATGCTTCTTATAGAATGTTAGAAAAACTGAAAATGTTACCTTTGTAATTTAAAAAAAGAAAAAAGGCGTGTTTGAAAGAGACCAGTGAGTGATCGTCCATTCGTGGGTCTACTTTTGTTGATGCCCGCAAGAGCTAGGGCTGAACGAGCTCATATCAGGCACTTCAGACGCCAACTGGGTCTCCCGTGGGAGTGGCAGGGCCCCAAGTACTTGGGCCTTCCAGGGTGCACAGTTCCAAGAAGACAGAATCAGAAGTGGAGCTAGAACTTGACCCTGGGGACCCTGGGACGGGATGCAGGGGTCCCTAACTGCACTTTAGCTGCTACACCAAGCAGCCGCACCTGAAAATCATTTTTACATAAACATTAATTACTGTTCCAGAGAACTGAAATTGGTTGTTTTTTTTTTCTGATAAGTGCTTATAAGACAATTTTTAAAACAAAATGAATAAAGAAAATAAAAATCTTACCATTTAGAGATCACTACAGTTAATATTTTGATGCGTAATTGTCCAAACTTTTCTGCAAACATTAATAAGTGGAGGATCATAGAAAATACTCTGCAAGTGACTTTTTTACCTGACATTCTTTTGTAATAAAACCAAGGCAAGAATGTACACATATTTCTATGTTAATAATCAAATACTTACATTAGAGCACTTGCTTTTTGTTGTAAGAATGGATGTTATTATTTTATCTTGTATTGGAGAGCATACAGTTCATAAAAGTTGTTTCAATATCTTTCCTTTGGTATTTTCTTTCAGTTAACATCTGATTTTAAAATCGCTTGCTTGCAATGTATCTCTCCAATGAGAGATTCATATTTGCTAAAAATTCCTATTTACTAAGAATTCATATTTACTAAAAATTTAACATGCACAAATTACAATAACATTCTGTGTAATTTTTCACCCGGTAGATGGAAAGAGACATTTTTAAAAACGATTACTCTGCAACATCGTTATGGGTGTGGAAACTAGGTCCTGTCCTGAGCTTCTGGTAGGTGAATGATGTGGGAGAATCTTCCTTGAAGGCAACTTGGAAATATGCATGGAAAACAGCTGCCGTGGCTGTTCATTTTCACAGATGTTTCATGAGAAAAATCTGATTTTTTTCCAAGGTCTTACTGGACAGGAGTCACATTACATATAGATGCTATAAACCCAATGTTAACATAAAAATTTCTTTTCTTAGGGATATTCCAAATAATGAGTCCAGGTGCCCTGAAGGTTTCCTGAAGTGTGCTTTAAGTATTGAAAATCTCTTTTGACACCTGCATAAATCACCGTTGCCTTGGAAGTCTACCCATAACAAAATCAGGATTCTATATTTGATGGTAGGACAGGGAGAGAAAAAAACCTACAAACCTGCTTCTTAAAATGTGAAAAGCAGCATCACACATTGGGGGAGAGACACAGGAGGAAAGAGAGAGCCCCAATATCCGCTAGTTCACTCTCCAAATGGTCACAGTGGCCAGAGCTGGGTAAAGCCGAAACCATGAGCCAGGAACTCCCTTCAGGTCTCCCAAATGGGTTCAGAGGCCCAAGTGTTGGGACCAACTTCTGCTGTCTTCCAGGCATATTAGAAGTGGAGCTGCCAGGACTTAAGCCATATGTGTTATTGACTTTACAGGCCAGGGCTTAGGGGTTAAACTTGCTGTGCCACAATACCAGCCTCACCAACCTGTTGTGTTCCACTCAGGGCCTTCCCCCACTGAATAAAACTGCTAAACTCTTTCCTGACATTTCTTACCTTGAAATACTATGTCCTGGTATTTTGGTTGCACATATTGATGGGGATGCTGAGGCTGAAGAATCTAAATACAGATTCTGGAGTCTGGATGCCCAGAAAAATACCTTGTTCTAGAACTATCAATAAGACTGTTTGAAAGGTTTAACTGAAAAGTCAGTGTCAAATCTGTTCATGATCTGACTACTCTGGTTGTCTCACTGAACAGGTGGCATGTAGGCACGTGGGGGCCCTGCTCAGCTACCTGTGGAGTTGGCATCCAGACCCGAGATGTGTACTGCCTGCATCCCGAGGAAGCACCTGCCGCTCCTGAGGAGTGCCAAGACGAAAAGCCCCACGCCTTACAAGCGTGCAATCAGTTCGACTGCCCGCCAAGCTGGCACATTGAAGAGTGGCGGCAGGTATGGCAGCCTGGCCACTAGCCAAGGCTCACCGTGACTTTGATGGAAAGAACCCTGCCTTGTACCAAGAAAAACAGGCCAGGCCCCTCCTCTCACTCCTCCTGTCTCCTTAGTGTTCCAGGACATGCGGTGGAGGGACTCAGAACCGGAGGGTCACCTGCCGGCAGCTGCTGACAGATGGCAGTTTTTTGAACCTCTCGGATGAGCTATGCCCAGGGCTCAAGGCTTCCTCTCATAAGTCCTGTGCCAGGACAGACTGCCCTCCATATTTGGCTGCAGGAAACTGGTCAAAGGTAAGATTTGTGTGTTCCCCCAAGGTCATGCTCAAGTTCCTGCAAGGTGCAATAAGGTGTCTGGGCTGTACGGTGTAAGGGGGGCCTCACGCCCACACTCTGGACTGGGCAGGTGTCCAGGCCTAAGCACACTGATTTCTTTGCAGCTGTGAATTAATAGTATTTCAACTGCTTTCATCATCTTTCTCCCAGAGAAGTCCCTTGCTCTGGAAACTGCCAGCTGCACAGTATGAAAGGATCAACTTAAGAATCAGTTTGGCTCTTCTCTTCTTTGTGCCCCCACCTATGGTATTCATTGTTCAATCCTGTCGTTTCATCTTCCTGAAGAGCTTTCCACACCTTCACTTTCTCTGTCTTGCTGCTGCAAGTTTTATCCTTCATCATCAAAGCTTGGATGATTGAAAAAAAAAGTAGACTTCTGGCACATCATGACAATGCAGGCATGGTTTAACACATTCTGGTAGTGATGCCTTATTACCCAGGTGGGTAAATAAAACCTTAATGGCATAAGTGAGTGGCCTGGACTCCCACCGCTAGCCAGGTAGGCATAGAAGCCCATTCCTTCTGACTTTATTCTAAGGGTTCTTTTCTATTGTGTGACATTGCCCACTTGATTTCCCTGCACTTCCATCCCTAGACCATCTAATGACCCATGATATTCCTAAATCGCCTGGTTGCTCAGAATTTTCCAGGTGTTACTGTTTCAGCCAAAGTGGTCTTTCTTGGACTGACAGTCCTTTACCCTCGCTGCATGCTGAACTGAGGTTTAACACAGATTCTAAAGCAGGTAATTGAAGTATCTTATCAGATACCTTATCAGTGGTGTGTGTGGGGTGGGCGAGTAATCTCATGTCCTTGCCAACCAGATTAGATTAAAGAGGTAGAGAGCTAGCTCTAACCTCGGGAATAACCTCAAGAAATAAGAAAGGGCAATGAGTGTATTCACGAAATGTGCCAAGTCCCCAGTTTAGTATCGGGCATCGTCCTCATCTACCACCGTCTTCTCATGACGTGGCCTTGGATGCAGCTGTTGTCTCCATCTCTACAGATGAGAAAGCACAGTAAATTCATTCATTCAGATTAAGGAACTTACCCAAGGGAAGTGGTAGGACTCAAAGCCAAGATTGTGTCACCCAAGTTTAGAAGAAAGAGAATGTACTCTTGTCTTGTATTCAAGAACAAGGGCTTTAATCCTACCAGAGGGTTGTCCTGCTTCAAAACACCAGAACTCACTGAGCCCCCATTTTCCTTTCTCTAACTATGGCTGCTGTTAGAATTAAGATAGTAGGCCTAGAAGCATCTACCAGAGTAGGCCCTTCTTACTCACTTTGATGACAAGTCCACATTTCTGGTTGTAGGCTGAAATGTATCCCACTCCTTCTGTCCACATTACGAGGAGGAGCTAGCAATGATTCCACTGGGAAGGACTCTCCACAAGAGATTGTTACACTGGCTGTCAGTGATGCAAGGGACAGGAAACTGTCTCTTTCTTTGGGCAGGTCCTAGACAAGGAGACACAGCTATTTCAAGACAGACAATGTCTCCGAGCAACACTGGGAAAGTTAGACATCTGCCCCTTGAAGCTTTGTGAACAAAAGTTGGTTTGCTTTCTCTCCTGTCCTGTCTACACAAGGAGAAAAAGCTCTCTAAAGAAAAATCATTAATTTGAGACTGAGTCAAGCAGGGAAATTGGGTGCAGGTTCAACAGCAGGATACCTGATGAGTGGGTAGGCAGTTTTTATTCCAGTTAAACCCCATTGTCACCGAAGGTGAAGAATCCACTTGCTACTACTATAAAGTTGGGGCGAGAATCACAGCAGGGAAAGGCCCGTGCCTTTTGGCCAGCACTCATGGTATTGTGAATGCTTTGTCTCCTAGCTACACTTGGTGTGGCATAGGACCAGTCAGGTGGACATTAGCTGGGTGTTTGGGAGAAATGAAAACCCTCAAATCCCATCCAGATCTAAGGGAGGGTCTACCTGTCAGCAAGATCCCCTGGGTTGTGAGGTGCTCTCTCAAGTGCGAGAAGCATCACTTTCTGCTCCCACATCCTTGGTTAGATTTCTTGGTTCTTTTTTTTTTTAAGATTTATTTTTATTATTTTTTCATTGGAAAGGCAGATATACAGAGAGGAGAGACAGAGAGGAAGATCTTCCGTCCGATGATTCACTCCCCAAGTGAGCGCAACGGGTCGATGCTATGCCGATCCGAAGCCAGGAGCCTCTTCCGGGTCTCCCACGCGGGTGCAGGTTCCCAAAGCTTTGGGCCGTCCTTGACTGCTTTCCTGGGCCACAGGCAGGGAGCTGGAAGGGAAGCGGGGCTGCTGGGATTAGAACCGGCGCCCATATGGGATCCCAGGCGTGCAAGGCGAGGACCTTTAACCATTTGCGCCACCGTGCCGGGCCCTAGATTTCTTGGTTCTTACAAGCTAGAAGTGACTCTGGGCCAATTTGACTTCTGGGATCAATTCTGAAGGGAAAGGAAGTGGGTGGGAATTGTGGGAAAAAGAGGCACTTGTTTCTGGATGCATCCAGGGAGCAACTCAAGCCACTACCACTCTGTAAAATACCTCCACTAAACTTAAACAGGTCTTTACACTTCCCTCCTGGCTTTTGGAAATACTTCTTTTCATTGCAGCTGCATGGTGGTAACATTGCTTCTCTTCCCTTTCCCAGTGACAAACTCAATGTGTGGGTTCCAGTTATGGGGGGCTAAAGTCATGCCATTGCCATGCACATTGTGTTGTTTGCCTTAGTGTTTTTGTTGTTGAGGTCCTCAAATCCCAAGTGTGGCTTTAAGCTCTCTTGCTCCAGGAAGACTTCCACTCCCTAAAATCACACAGTGCTTCCCACCTTTCATTCACATGTATTGTATTTTGTTGGGCAGCTTCTTCCAGAGCTCTTAGGTGGTCTTCTCTGGCTTACTCTCTCCTTGAGGCCAGTGGTAAAGCAATTGTGGGAAGGTCCTTGGGTGCTATGGAGCCCGAAGAGTCAGTACTCTTCCTTAGGAGTCTGCAAAGTTAGAGAAAATGCAAGGTGGAATTGAAGTAGCATGCTTTAGAAAAAAGCTTAGATCTACTGAAACAAAATCATTAAATGATTCATGGAAAGGATTTTGCTGGGGAAAAACAAAACAAGAGGAGGAAGCAAACAAACAAAAGAAGAGGTGATCTGGAGTGAGCCCAAGGCAGCCAGGATCGTAGGCAGTCCTGCTTCAGAGCAAGGAGCAACATCTGCTATACCTAGAGCTGAACTCAACCAAGACACCCTCTCCCCTGCAGCCAAAGCCAAAACCCAAGAAGCCCTCAGCTGGTGAGTGCATACTCAGTGTAGCCCCCGACTCCAAAAGCCAAAGTTCAGCTTCAGTCCAGCAAGGCACACAGCTTGCCGCACCCCAGTCCGCATTTCCTGCTGGGTTCAGTTTTGCTCCATTAGATGAAATTTTCTCTCATTTCAGAGCTGCTTTATCTTGGCAGGTACTCTGGCCCCAAATGACCCACCTGCCTGCCAAATGGGCCGTTTTGCCACAGGATGGCTCACTTGGAGGCGGCCATCCAATCTTGTGGTTCTGGATAAAGTCTCCACATTGGCAATGGCCACTAACCTGGACACTGAATTGCTGAGGAGCTGTGCCAAGATTTGCATTCTGCATGGAGTCAGCCCTGTTGGCCTAATGGTCCTTTTGCCCCAACATGCCTTCTATTCACAGCATGTTTGAGCTTTTCTCTATTCACTGAGTTAGCGGTTTGCTTCCATTCCTTAGACCTGGATCAAGCCTTAGGCAGAAAGGAGCCTTTTGTTCTTGTCCACAGCTCTCCAGGTTGCAGGAAAAGAACAGTGACTCATGGCTGGCAGTGTTCCTAAGTGGGGTGGGGGGTCCCATGAATCTGCAGTACACCTGCTTCTGTCCTCTTTCCTGGACTGAAATCCAGTCACCTTCCCTCGTTCTGTATTTTCTCTACTTTGATGGCACTTTCTGTCTACATTCAGCTTTCTCCTTTGTGATATTTTTGGGGGGGTTGTTAGCTTTCCTGTATATTCAAATGCATCTTCTCTGCTGGCTTGTCTACTTGACTTCCCCACAAGGCTCAGCATGTGACTCTTGAGTTTGCATTGCTGGATTTTGCTCTGTGGTTGATTCTGTGTCCTGACGTCTTCAGTGTCTGTGGGGGAATCTCCAAGTCTAGGAAGACTTGTCACATCCCCAGCTAACAAATAGAGGGTCTTCAAAAAGTTCATAGGGAAAACTACGAAGATATTCAATATTTTGCCCCAAAATAAACTTACCATCTTTTCATTGCATTTTTCCACCTTCCTATGGGTTATATCTTCATTGTAGGAAAGCAAAGGAACAACCTCTCCATGCCATCTCCATGCCATCTGCACTACTTCACTTCCTGTCTTGGTCAGGGTACCATTATTTGCATCATTTCTAATTATCTCTGACCTCTTCATTTTCTGTATTTAGTTACACCTGCCTTCCAGCTCTTGATTTCTTGAAATACATCTCCATACACTAAGTAAAAAGCAGAAGATTCCTACAAATGCACCTTTTTTAAAGGCAAAGAACAGTTCAAGTTCTGCCCACAACATGTGCATTTCCCAATGTGCCCTCCCAGGTTCTTAGTAAATTTATTAATCATGACTTATGAAGGCAATAGTGTCTTGGAATCATTTCTCACTAGCTATGGAAAATGGCTGTGGTCTCTTCTCAACTTTTGCACTTGATATCAGATGGATAGCTTAAAACCAGCAAGAATGGAAGTTTTTGCACCACAGAAGTTGAAACAAAAATCAGAATTTTCTATTCTTGGGAACCTGTTGTGAGATACTTAAGAGCAGGCAAATAAAGGAAAGGTTTGCTCACACACACACACACACACACACACACACACACACACACACACACACTTTCAGCCCATTGATGGAATTTAGGATGGAAAGGCCATCAAGAAGTGTTAGCCTTTGCACTCCTTTCTACAAAGTCTAAGAGACTGGGGTAAGCTTCTTTAAAACATTTTGTTTTCTTTTTCTAAGATTTATTTTCTTTTTATTTGAAATGCAGAGTTACAGAGAGGAAAGGCAGAGAAGAATCTTTGATCCACTGGTTCGGAGTGGATGTCCACAATGGCCGTAGCTGAGCTGATCTGAATCCAGGAACCAGGAGCTTCCTTCTGGTCTACCACACAGGTGCAGGGTCCCAAGGCTTTGGGCCATGCTGGTTTCCCAGGCCACAAGCAGAAAGCTTAATAGAAAACAGAGCAACCAGGACATGAACAGGTGCCCATAAGGGATGATAACAACATAAGGCAGAGACTGCCTGCTATGCCAGCACAACAGCCCTCCCTTTAATCTTTTTAAAACATATTGTCTTAATTGTGTTTCTTATTACAAATCACTATGTAGATGGTCATTCATCCACTTGAGTAACAATGTCTTTTGGTATTCAATTGGATAGTTCCCTTATAGTTGAATGTGTTCAAAAATACATCCATGTATCCAAATCCATGGACTTCTCTCTTTGTCCTATATATTTTAAATCTCCCCTCTTTTTCTTTCCATTTCCCCCCTATTCTTCTCCCAGTCTCCTCCAACCCCCTCTCTCTGTCACACACACACACACACACACACACACACACACAACCCGAATACACTTTACTTTTCTGGCTGAATTGAGGTTGCCAGCAAGGAAGGACCATTTTCACATGTTTTCACTGGAATTGGTGCTTGGAGAAACCCTTTGGCTGCAGGAGACTTGTGAAAGCCTCCGCTCTGCTGTGTGTTCCTATTTCCACAGCCACACATGCTCAGGAATTTAATCAGCAGACATCCACTGAACACTACTATGTTGGGGAACCCCAGGCACAAAAAGCAGTGGGGTAAATCGAGAACTGTCCTCAGTGAACTCACAGTTAAATGAGGCCAACAGCTGAAATAGTGTTTACAGCTATGTACCAAAAGCCCAATAAAATGCCCCACATACATTGCCATGAGAAAATTGAAAAAAAACAGTCAAAGTCTCCCTGAATTCCAAGAAACTGTTGTAAATGGTGCAAATGTAGAACTGGTATGAAAAAATGACTGCGGCCATGTCAGTACCCAAGTTCAAGGCCCGGCACTGCTCCTAATTTTCAGCTTCCCACTAAAGTACACTCTGGCAATAATGAAATAATGGCTCGGGTATTTGGCTTCCTGTCACTTGTGTGGGAAGTGAAGTTCCAGATTCCTGGCTTCAGCCTGGCCTGTCCTTGGATGTTGAGGACATTGGGGCATCAACCAGTAGATATGAGATCTCTCTATTTCTCTCTCTCTCTCTCCCTCTCTCTCTCTCCCTCTCTTTCTCTCTCTCTCTTCCCCTCTTTGTCTCAGTGCTTGCCAAATGTAATTTTTAAAAAATTTTTTAATTTTATTAATTTATGTTTAGCACGAGTGCAGACATGTAGAAATGAAAGACAAGAGTATTGTGGGCAGTGATCAAAACAGGCACAGGTTGGTGAGGTTTTTGAAACTGGGAATTGAGAAGATGGTAGAATGTGAGAAGCAGAGGAGAGGGTTCAGCCACTCTTGGTAGAACTTGGAGTATTATTTCCCTTCCTCTACTGCTTACTTAGGCCATAAGCAGGGAGCTGGGTGGGAAGTGGAGCAGCTAGGACATGAACTAGCACCTACATAGAATGCTGGTACTTGCAGGCAGAGGATTAGCCAGCTATTGAGCCACTGTACTGGCCTGAGATAAAGGCATTTTAAAATTCCATTTCTATGCTTTGAAGCCTAACCCACAAAAAAGAATGAAAAAGAATGCTCCATCTTCAAAGAACAATAAAGTGGCCTAATCCCAAACTATACATTAAGAAACATACCTTCCAAGACCATAAACTCCAGACCCAAATGAGAGGCAAACCTGAAAACTGACCAGTATATCCTCTGGCATTGAGAGGGGTATAGATTTCTACAGGACACAGTGTGACAGACCTTAATGGCCTACGTAGTAGTGTTTGAGTGCCGGACCATGAGCCACCCCTGAAACTCTGGGGAGAGATAGAGCTGAAAACATCGCTTTGAGCCTTGTCACCAAGGAAGACTGCCAGAGGTGTAGTGAGACAAAGGCCAGGATGCAGCTATTGCTGGATTATTATCCAGGGAGCTTAGTCATGCCACCCATTCAAATGCCAAAATCTGAAGAGAATAAGGGAAATAAGAGATGTGGTGAGAGAGTGTTGAATACAACACACCGATGTCACCTGCCCTACCTGTGCAATTCCCAAACAGCCATAAGCCTTCTCACCACCGGCATGAAATCTAAGGGTGAACAAGAAGGGAGTGGGGAAGGTCGGATCAGCATGTGGGGAAAGAGGTACAATGCAAGAGCCATGGGAATGATGCAGTACAGGTGCCCCCCCAACCCCACCCTCTGGGAAAGGTGCCAAGAAGTTGACTTAGTCCTTCCTTCCCAAGGAGATGACTATCATGGGAAAAGTAAGGTTCAAGTTCACAGAAGAGATCAGAAAACAATGGAAGGAGATGAAAAGACAACTGGAGCAATGGGGTGGGGAATGGATGAGAAAACATAAAAGGGGTACACACACACAAGCTCCATCACAAGCAACACACACAGGAAAGGAAGAACTGAAAACAGAGAGATACTCGGATCCTCAAAGTTCATGAGGAAAAAGTAGGCCTGGATTTCAAGAGCTTGAGCTTGGCAGCTTGGGCTGCCAGGGCTAGAACAGGCCAGATAAACACCGTGGAGAACAGACACAGCAGCTTGGTTTTCAGAAGCCATTCAGACATGCCAAGCAGATGAGGAACAGCAGACATAAGCAGAATTGATGTTGAGAAGAACAGGACATGGCATTATCTAAATCATACCACAAAAAACTCATTGGAAATTTGCAGAGCAAATTTCATCCTTCCTATCAGCAAATTGATAGTTACTCACTTAAGTCAAAATATATCATTAAAAATCACTAACTATGGGCCGTGGACTGCAAGGCCATCCGCTCCATGTAGAAGTGCCCTTTGGAGTCCTAGCTGTTCCACTTCTGCTCCAGCTCCCTGCTAATGCTCCTGGAAGAGTAGTGCAGGATGGGCCAAGTGCTTTGGCTCCTTACCCATGTGGACCTGGATGAAGTTTCAGACTTCTGGTCTTGGCCAGGGAAGTCAGCCAGAGGATGGAAGATCCTTCCTGTCTCTCTCTCTCCTTTTCAAATAAATAATTTTTTTTAAAAAAAAATCACTAGCCAAATAATACCTTGTTGATTTCTTAAATCTTCTTTGTTAACTTTAGACTACTTTGGGGAATTAAAAACCACACATTCCACAATTTCATTTTATTTTTTTCTAATATACTTGCATATATTAAGTTGCAAGTATATTATATATAATATATGATAAAATTGCATCAGCTGTTTAAATGTAAATTACATATGTACATAATAATGCTACTTAATGTGTAGCAGTTAGAGTGGGTTTTTTTTGCATGTGCACATACTGAATGTTACTTTATAAAGAGCAGTTTTTAATATTTTTTTATTTCTTGGCTTGTTGGCAATAAGGCCATGTCAGCTCTTTTTAAAAGCATTTTACTATATAATGAGACAGCTAAAAATAAAGGACATAAAATCTAATGAGAAAACTAGATAAATTAGATCTCAGTTACAATGCCAGAAAAGTAAGTGCCATGACAATAAATTAGTGGAATCATTAACCTCTGTGATTAACTCAGAGAGAAAGGGAGGAAGGAAGGCAGGAGGGAGGGAGAGAACAAGGGAGGGGACAAGAAAGGAGAAAGAATGAAAACGAAAGGAGAGGATGGAGGAAGGGGAGAATGGAGGAGGGGAAAGGAGAGAGGAGGATGGGAGGAGGAGAGCACAAACTCCAGCCATCCTCTATGAGACTCAAGCCTAGCAAGTGGCTTGCTAGAGCGTCCCCTCTTTCTCCCTTGGAGACCTTGCCATCTTTGGCTGGGTTCACCTGGCCACGCTCCCTTGACTCTGCACACCTCTCATTGCAGTGCTCCGTCAGCTGTGGTGCTGGAACTCAGAGAAGAAAGCAGGTGTGCCAAAGGCTGACGGCCAAAGGCCGCCGTGTGGCTGTCAGCGAGGCGATGTGCAGGGCTCTGCCTGGGTTCCCGCTGGTCCGAAGTTGCCAGATGCCTGCATGCAGCAGTAAGTATGTGACGTGTATGCTTCACCAAGACAGGCTAACTCTACTCCTTCTGTCACCATGTCTCTCTCGGCACCAGCCATGTATCTGACCTGTGAGTGCAGAGAATCAAACAGAACCCAGAAACGCTTTAAGCAAGCAGATAGTAGAATGTGAAAGTCTAAGGCATACCTAGACTTCCTAAGCAGTGTCAGTTTTAAGAAATAGCCATCCACTCAACACATGAACCTTTAAGGCTTTCTTGCTAGGATTTAGATTCTCCACTTCTGCTAAGATGGCTTCCTCTCAGAGCTTACGAACATTCCTCTTGGAAGGTAAGCTGAAATGTCACCTAGCTGACTCTGTGTTTGGATTCACTCTGTTTCAAAAGCTGAGCATTTTAACACATTTTTTAAAATTGTGTATAATCTAATACCAATAAGACTGCAAGCCTGGGAGTAACTTTCATTTTAAATAACGACAGTTTGGACACCTCTTCCATTCATTATAAATATTAAGCTTGCCATCAAGCATGACTCAAGTGGCATGTATCCCCACTTTCCGTGTACATGAAGGAATGTATGTTTGCACACGTGGCAGTATGTTTCCTGTGAGGGGTTCATACAGAGGCCTTGAAGGTTGTCAGTGCTGCAAACGAAAATCAGGAGGCTAATGGGTGGTGGGAAGGTAGGCTTGGGTCAAGCACATTGGCAGTTACAACTACTGGAATGTTTCTCGTTTTCCTTTGTTTATTTGGCTATAATATAACATTCATTATCTCAGATAATCCCCTCATCCTCTGGTTGGAAAAATCAGAAATGAACTATGCTTATATAAATGCAACATCAGGGAAAATATGTGTGTGTTTCTACTATATACAAAAGTAGACACACACACACACAGTCGTGCCCCTCGTAGTAGCAACTCCACACATGGGGAGACCTTTGCTTCCCCCTAGGATTATAACAGAGCTGGAAAGTGCCCTTTGCCTGTGGCATCATGGCTATAGTGCCATCGGAACATAGCACATCATTCACCTGTCTGTTTCGATGCTGGTGCAGACACACCTGCTACACTGCCCATCCTGAGAGGACAGCACCTCTGCTGATGTGCAGCACGTAGCACTTGATAATGATGATAAGCAGTTATGTCACTCGTACAGAAATGTGTTTTAGAGTATACCCCTACTTATAAACGAACTTTCTACGCAACAGTTTGCCGTGTTATTCAAGGCAGCATTTTTCCGATTACCCTGTCTCTTGATTACATCATTTTAGCTTAGGCTTGATTTAATCTCATGTATTCATCATGACCATTGGAGCTCACAGATATAGCCTGTGAAACAGGCTGGACCATGTGGGTTTCTGTGAGCACACTCTATGCTATTCCCACAACAATAACAACAACAGCAACAACCATCAAGCATCTGAAAACATGTCTGCCTCTTAAACCGTGTGTGTCTATATAATATACACAGACGTTTTTGTACTTCAATAAGTACATCAAAGAGCTTGTGGAAAATGGAACTAAAAAAATGCTTACTTTGGTGCAGAAATATGTAAAACCCATGCACAATTTTTCATGGTACTTATTTTCCATAAACTATTTCAAAATTTTAAGTGTGTGTGTAACCTTGGTTTTGCAATCAGCTTTTTTATAGAAACTCAAAAAAACAGCACACAAACACACACACACACAAATATTCATTGTATGGTAAGTCTGTTCCGACCACATTGCAGTCAAACTAGAAATAAATAACAAGATTGGAAAGTATACAAACAGGCAGAAATTAAACAACTTATTCCTGAATAACCAATGGATCAAGGAAGAAATTAAGAAGGAAATTTTACAGTTTTTTTTACACAAACCAAAGTGGATATACAACATACCAGAACCTGTGAAAAACAACTAAAGAGGTGCGAAGAAAGTTTATAGCAGTCACAATACAGAAGGACCTCAAATAAATGTCCTATAGCTGCATTAGAAGGAACTAGAAAAACCAGAATAAACCAAATTCTGAATTGATAGAAGAAAATCAATGACACAGAATGAATATAAAAGAAGTAAAAAAAAAAATCAGGGCCAGCGTGGTGGCCTAGCAGCTAAAGTCCTCACCTTGAACACACAAGGATCCCATATGGGCACCGGTTCTAATCCCAGCAGCCCCGCTTCTATCCAACTCCCTGCTTGTGGCCTGGGAAAGCAGTTGAGGACGGCCCAAAGCCTTGGGACCCTGCACCCATGTGGGAGACCTGGAACAAGTTCCTGGATCCTGGCTTTGGATTAGCACAGCACCAGCCATTGCGGTCAGTTGGGGAGTGAATCATCAGATGGAAGATTTTCCTCTCTGCCTCCCCTTCTCTCTGTGTATCTGACTTTTCAATGAAAAAAAAAATAAATCTTTTAAAGAAGTTAAAAAGCAGAGCATCATCATTTTTTTTCTTCAAAAGCAAACAAAAGTGAAAACCCTTAGCTAGACTAAGATAAAGAGAAAAATAAAATCAAATGTGGAAGTGAAGACACTACAACCTACACTATGGAAGTACTAAAGATCATTATGAACAAGTATGTGTAAATTTGATCATCTATAAGAAATGCACAGATGCCTGGAAAAACACACCTTACCAAGATGTATTAGGAGGAAATAGAGTACTTAAACAGACTAATAATAGGTAGCAAGAATGAATCGATACTAAGTCTCTCTTCAAACACAAGCCTGAGATCAATGGCTGCATTTAATAAAAAGAACTAATAGAACTTCTTCACATATTTGAAAAAAACTAGAAGCGCATGGATACATAGTTGGGAACATCACATGTCTTAGAATGGTCAAATGAGAATTCCAAAAGGAGAGGTTGCAATTGTGAGAGAGTGTTGGTGGCCATTCCCAGAAAGTCAGTAGTGGGATTCTTGGAGCAGATTTCCTTTGTCTGAAAATTGGAGTAGTAAATAAGAGCCACTTACTATTCAGACAGGCCTGGAATGTTCTAGAGCTATCAGCCTTGAAGGCTTTCATAGTAAATCCCACCACTGCCTCTCTCAAAGACTCCTCTCAACTGCCTGTGTCCTTGTCCTTCAAGAAGTTGAAGAGAAGCTATGAAAAATGCCCAGGTCCAGTTGAGCTTGTTGGAGCTTCACTCCAGAAGGAAAGAGAGAAGTAAGGAGGTCTGGGTTGCAGCAGAATAATGGGTTGCATAACGGCAGCCTGGCACTGAAACCCCAAAAGAAGGACCTGGAGAAAGTTTCATTTTCTAGAGAGTCAAGCATGTAGCATTTCTCATGGCCAGTACAAACAGTAGGACCACTAGGAGGGGTGACATGATGCATAAGGTGCCTGTCTCCTCTGCAGGAGTGACCAGCGTTGTCATTCCACATACTGAAAAATGCAGTCACCTAGGGCCAGGCCAGTTGCTCACCGGAACAATGTGTCTGGTAACACCACACCGGGCACTGCTCTGAAGAGACTCACAGGAGTCCCAAGAGAGGAAGTGCCAAGTGGTGAACCTGGCAGCCTGGCAGAATCCTTGAGTACTGTCTCTGGCTGGAATTGCAATCCACTCTCCTACAGGTCCACCTGCTGACTGAACTGCTCTGGATCCTGATATGAGCTGGGAAAGAAGCCAGTGTGGGTCCCAGTGCCTGCCCGCGAATGAGCATGTAGCCAGAGGGAGTGATTTACCCAGACACTCCAGCAGGCACTCTGACCAAGGCCAAGCCTATCCTCCACCTGCAGGTGCCATAGCTCCCCTTGAACAAGGTCAGGGTTCCATCAGCTTGAAGTTACTAAGCTCAACTGAGAGACATCAGGCTACCAGCAAACTTGAAGACAGGTGCAGTCCATCTCCAAGTTGGGTCCAGGGCATCCAGTTGGTCCATGGATCTCTCACCAGCTTAGGTTCATTGCCAGCCTGAACCATTCTGCTTGGGAGCTTTCACACTGTCCCGGGAAGAGCACCAGTATTCACACTTGGATCCCTATGGCAAATCTTACTGCCCTCCACACATGGCTCAGTTGCCTGACTTCAAAAGTCTGACTTTGGCCCAATCTGCATTCTACTTTTGATATGTGCTTCAAAGTTATCCATACACAAATCTCCCTTTTCTAGGAGAGTTCCACTGAGACCAATAACCAAGCAGGATTTTCAAGTGAGTCTTTTGGAATAGTGATAAAACCTTGTGTACTATGATATATGCATTATTTTTAGTGTGTGGAGGAATTTTTTCTGCCTACATCTTCAAGTGAATAAAGAGTATATTTTCAAGTTAAAAATAATAGAAATGGGAAACATACATGGATATATATATATATATTACACATATAATATAATATATATAATATATAATATATTATATTATATAATATATATTATATATATATATATACACACATATATATATATATATATATAACACAGAAATTCCAATCCTGGGAATATATCCAAAGGCTCTGATACATGCGAAAGCAACATGCATTGAAAAAACTTGAAAAAAACTTGGAAACAAACTATATGCATATTGACAGAGGACTGGATAAAGAAACTGTGGCTCATCTATTCTATGGAATACTACTCAGCTTTAAAAAAGAATAAGATACAACTGTTTATAGTCAAATGGGCCCAACTGGAGACCATTATGCTAAGGGAAATGAGCCAATCCCAAAAGGTCAGATACCACATGTTTGCTCTAATATAAGATAACTTCCATCAAAAACACAGAACAACAACAGAGAACAAACACACACATGTAACCAACCCCATAAATGAAGGAGGTAATAGAGGCAGGAATACCAGGAATCAAGCAAAATCTGCAGAGGATACATTCCTACTAAGGAATGAAGATAAACTCTCAATGAAATTTGTAAATATACCTAGACAGCAAAAAAAAAAATGCAACACCTGCTACTGCCATGTCAACAATGTAAAAAGTTGGAACCATCTCTGTTTCATCTCTAATTTTATTTTAAGTGATTGTGCCTTGGTGAACTCAATGATGATATGGCTAAGGGGTTGGTTTACTCAGCTTCTTTTGAAATGGCCCTTTCTTGTTTCAATTTGCAGTTTTGTGGTGTCAAACCTAATTATTTTTGCTGTAAATCTTTTCATACTTCCTAGTTATTTGTATCTCTCCCAATAAGTTCTTGTGACTCATTAATTGATCATCCATAAGAGATGGATTGCTTGTAAACACCTGAGATTGTAAATGTCCCTTTCAACACTGTTTTGCTACATATCATGAGTAATGAAGTTCTAGTTTTTAATTGTAATTCCTTCAGTGCCACAAGGGTCACGCACTAGCATCTATTCCTACAAGAAGGTTTTCAGTTCTCATTTTCACCACTCTTGTGATGCATTTTTATTTTTTGTAGCATGTTTGTTAACTTCATGTTGGGGAAAATGTTTTCACCCTGTTGTGGGCTGTTTTCGAGGATATATAATGGAAGTTTAGTGGAAACATATGTTGAGATATGGAGACAGAGTGCTGTATGTCTCTGTGCATACAGACCAGAGATGGACTCCCAGTGAAAGAACTGAAACTATCCCAACAGTAAGATGATGGACTCTCTGACAATGTCCATGCCTACATTGTCGGGAAACACTTCAATAACAGCATGATGGACTTGTGAAGGACATCCGTTGTAAAACTAGAGGGGAAGTCAGTGGGGGAAGGGACCTTGGAGAAGGGCACAGGCAACCCCACAGCCTGTGGAACTATATCATAAAACAAAATTTTTTCTTAAAAAAATACAACCAGATGAATAAAACCAGAAGCAGATAAATTAAAAAAAAAAAAAGGAAATAAATGACCCAAGAAGGCTAATATGTGATTAGGTCAGGAAACAAGCCTGGCAGCTTGCCTAAGTCATACTCTGCCACGTGCACCTGCTTGCCTTCTGTTTCCCAGTTAAACCTCCATGAATCCCCCACCAGTCACCGTGCAGATACTGGTGCTCGTGCTGTTAAACTTACCTCCTCCAAATCCTTGGGCCAAAATAAATCTCTTGTCCTTATGAAGTGCCCCGTTTCGGGTATTTTCTATGACAGAGTAAGACACAAGGGAGAGATTGCGCAGACTCTGCTGCCCAGCTGTACCCCATTCGTCAGAATGTCCAAGGATGAGATGCAGGTGACTGAAGTCATTGTAATTCAGACAGGTGATCATAATGTGTAGCAAAGTTGGAAAGCCCCTTTTTAAAGTATCGAATGTTGGAGTTGATATTGAGCTTCTAGGACGATGCTCTTCATCTTTTTTATTCTCAACCCGTTTTATAAAGAGTAGAACAGATCCACTGGTTGACTTGTCTCGACCTGGGAAGATGACTGTCCACACACATTTTTCTGTTTGGGATGATTGCTTTGCATTCTCTTCTTTCCCCTGCAGAAGTCAAACCAGAGATGAAGGCCCAGTCAAGCGAGCAGCGTCCTCAGATACTCAGCGTGCAGAGAGTGTACATTCAGACTAGGGAAGAGAAGCGGATCAACCTGACGGTGGGGAGCAGAGCCTACTTGTTACCCAACACGTCTGTGATCATCAAATGCCCCGTGCGACGATTCCAGAAGCATCTGATCCGCTGGGAGAAGGACGGCCGCTGCGTTCACAACTCCAAACGGCATGGTGTCACCAAGTCAGGCTCGCTAAAAATTCACAGCCTCGCAGCCCCGGACATCGGCGTGTACCGGTGCCTGGCTGGCCCCGCGCAGGAAACGGTTGTCCTCAAGCTGATTGGAACTGACAACCGGCTCATGGCGCACCCGGCCCTGAGAGAGCGCATGAAGGAGTTTCCCGGGATAGACCACAATGAGGCCAATGGCTTGGGAGCCACGTGGCATAAAATGTGGCAAACGCGGAGTAATAAAAATGAGCTCCATCCGCCAGATGGACGCATCCATAACCAGCCTTTTTTGAGAGCTCTTTTAGGCCATTGCAGCGATCCTGCAGGTGACCCCAACACCTGGGAGTACAAGAACAAACAGTTTGAAGCGGCTGTGAAGCAGGGCGCCTACAGTATGGATACAGCCCAGTTTGATGAGCTGATAAGAAACATGAGCCAGCTGCTGGAGATGGGAGAGGTCAGCGATGACCTGGCATCCCAGGTGATCTACCAGATAGTGGCCGAATTAGCTAAGGGGCAGCTGGCACACATGCAGTGGGACGGTCTCCGGGAAGATGCGCCTCCCGCAGCTCAGCTCAGGGGGCAGACCGGGAGTGTGCCCCACAGCTGGAGTGCAAAAAAGACATGGAAACCCAAGGAACGGACTCCTGTCAGGCAAAATCAACCCGTCTCCATTTCATTTAACAAGACGCTCAACGCAAGGATTGGAAATACAGTGTACATTACCACAAAGACAGAGATCATCAATATACTGTGTGACCTGGCTGCCGCCCGGGGGGCCACCTACACATGGACCAAGGATGGAGCCCGGTTACAGCCCTCGGCAAAGTAGGTACACGAAAAGGTCTCGTTTCTGTCTCCCCTTAATGGCCATCCCAGTTTTCTGAAATGTATTTGCACAGCATCCTTTAAGAAAGAAATTAAATAGACTTATATTATACATACACTTATATAATATACATATATACTTACACACATACATATGTTTAAATATAAGTATGTAATTATATATAAGCATATGTGTACTTGTATTACTTATATGCTTATAAAGTAATATAATTATGTATACACATGTATATATACATTATGTTGTGTACATATATTATACACAGCAATTATATACATACATATACATGTATATCACATATAGTATGCATACACACATATATAATTACATTACTTTATATGCATATAAGCACATTTTATATATATACATGTATATATGAATGTGTCTTTCACATATGCACCAGAATTTTAAAAATTAGGCCCCTGTTTTATCCCAATCACTATCACACAGTTGGACACAGTAAGAATGGAATTAAATGTAGATAGATTCTCCTTTTGTACAGCAATGAATATTTGTCCATAAGACCACCGTAAGGCCTTTAAAACACTGTGTTGAAATTGTGCGTCTCAGACATGTGTGGCCGCACGGGCACTCACCTTAGCCCTCTGGAGTGGGGGTTCACAGTGTTCTGGAATGGGGGTACCTCAGCCCTCTGGAGTGGGGGTACCTTAGCCCTCTGGAGTGGGGGTTCACAGTGTTCTGGAGTGGGGGTACCTCAGCCCTCTGGAATGGGGGTTCATAGTGTTCTGGAGGGGGGTACCTCAGCCCTCTGGAGTGGGGGTTCGCAGTGTTCTGGAGTGGGGGTACCTCAGCCCTCTGGAGTGGGGGTTCACAGTGTTCTGGAGTGGGGGTACCGCAGCCCTCTGGAGTGGGGGTTCACAGTGTTCTCAAGAGCTGGGTGAGAAAAAGAGCCCCGTGACTTTATGATTAGTCAGAACAGGCTACGGTCCCAAAGAGCAGCTTGGAAAACCTGCAAATCTCAAGTGACTTTGTTATGCTACAACTTTTTTTTTCAAGGCAGATTTTACAGAGACAGGAATCTGCTTTCCCCTGGTTCACTTCCCAAATGGCCACAACGGCCAGAGTTGAGCCTATTATTTGAAGCCAGAAGTTTCTTTTGGTTATCCCACGTGGGTGCAGGCTCCCAAGGCTTTGGGTCATTCTTTGCTGCTCTCCCAGGCTGCAAGCAGGGAGGTGGATCAAAGTGGAGCAACTGGGGCATGAATCAGCACCCATATGGGATGCCAGTACCATGGGTGGAATATTTGCCTATTATGCTATGGCACTGGACTCTACCCTGCAGTTTTGGTGCAAAAAAAAAAAAATGTATTTCATTTATTTTATGTGAGAGGGTAACAGAGAACAATTCACTTTTGCATTCCTGTCTTCAGACCTCATTGTTGGTTCCCAAAAACTTGTAGACATGGTGCTTCCTTTTCATTGGAATGTAAGAGCTCCTGCTGCAACTTTGGTACCTACAGGGATGATTACAAAACAAATAAAACTGCAGCTGGGAAATTATTCTGCAGACCATAAGGCCCTTTCAAACTGGAGGTTGTTTTTCTTTTTTAAGATTTTTATTTATTTTTATTGAAAAGATAGATTTACAAAGAGAAGGAGAGGAGGGGATAAAGATCTTCCATCCACTGGTTCACTCCACAAGTGGCCGCAATGGCCAGAGCCGAGATGATCTGAAACCAGGAGCTTCTTCTGGGTCTTCCATGGGGGTGCAGGATCCCAAGGCTTTGGGCCGTCCTTGACTACTTTTCCAGGGCACAAGCAGGGAGCTGGATGAAAAGTAAAGCAGCTGGGACATGAACTGGCACCCATATGGAATGCTGGCACTTACAGTTTGGAGGTTTGGCCAACTGAGCACCAGCCCCTCAAACTGCAAGTGTTTTATTTTTATCATGTACTTGTGCATTGAGCCTAATACAGGAAACATCAGAAGATATGTAGGCATAATTTAGTTGTTTTTTTTAAGTGACAAATTGTTAGAGTAGGTCTTACAATAGAAAGATAGGAAATTTAAAATTTTTGTTTTAGTCTAGACGTGTAAGCACCAGAATTCATTGAAATTTTGAAGGTGGTTCTCCAACTTTTTGATTGTAGATCTTCTTTAACTTTGAAAATAATTATAGGATCCAAAGAGCTTTTGTAAATAGAATTGCATCCATTATTATTTACCTTATCAGAAACTAAGAGAAGCATTTAAATGATCTCTGTTAACCCATTTAGAAAAGCAAAAGTCCATTACCTGTTGATGTAAATAGCATGTTTTGAAAAGCAGTATACCTCTGCTTAAAATCATGGATAATGAGATAATTGCTTTATATCTTTTTTTTTATTATTATTTCATTTTGTGACACAGTTTCATAGGCTCTGGGATTCCCCCAACCCCCTCCCATGCCCTCCCCCCATGTTGGATTCCTCCACATTGTTGCAGTAGTACAGTTCATATCCAGTCATGATTCCCTCATTGGGAGCATGTACCATGCATATGTTAACGAACAGTCTTAGGAGGGGTGTGCAGAGAAATCTTCAATACCCCAGTTAGGTGTAACTAATCTTTGTGTCCTACCTAGTAAGGTATATGTGAGTCCAAGCTGAACGTTTCCTGTCTGTTCTAAGCTTTCCTTATTGGTCTCTGTCTATCTAATCTAATTTTTTTTGGGGGGGGGGCCTCCAGAGCAACCCTGATGGTCATTGCAAGAGAGGGTGGGGATCCAAAGTTGAAACTAAGTAAGGACCAGAGAAAGCTCCTCTCCCGAGTCCCAAAGGAAGTTTACTGTTCTTCTGTTTCTGAGGACTGCTCAGGGCTCCCAGCTGTTGTTCCGATGACATTAGATCCTGTGAGGAAGGATCTGGGCTTCTTCCATCCCATGTGGGAGTTCTGAAAGGGAATGGATGACCTCAGAGTTCTTGGCCTATGAGGGCACTAGTCTCCTTGGCAGTTGGGATATAACCCTTGGTGCCCGTACTGATAGTCCTAGGTGAGGATCCGGGAGTCTCCAGGTTTGGGATACAAGCCTCCTCCTGTCCTCCTGCTCCATGCACATGACTGTGTTAAGCAGCTGTCAGGATCACTCCTGATTCCCACTGTATGTTTTTATAGTTTTGCTAATGTCTAATGCAGATTTGATTCTGCTGTGTATAAGTTACCTATTATATTCTTGATAGGTTATACTTAATGTCTTCCTCACACATTCTAAGAAGGTGGAAGATTTCTCTGCTCTCCTGACCCATTGCAGAATAACATAGGGTATTAAAAGCAAATTAGGTTTTTCAGTTCTTTGATGTAGATCATAAGCAGTCTGATTCACATTGATTGTTGGTTCATTGGTTACATCACAATATCTTATTGCATGTGATACAGGCTGTTTGAGGTTGAAATAATATTACAATTTACAGGTACTATTTTTCAGATTGACATCATTTCATCTTAAATTAAGGCAAACATGTGGTATCTAACCTTTTGGGATTGGCTCATTTCCCTTAGCATAATGGTTTCCAATTGGGCCCATTTGGCCACAAAGAAATGCATTTCATTTTTTTTAATAGCTGAGTAGTATTCCATGGTGTAAATGAACCATAGCTTTCTTATCCAGTCTTTTTTTGTTGGGCATTTTGGTTGCTTCCAATTTTTTCCAATTACTGACTGTGCGGCTATGAACATAGGGGTATGTTGGTTTCTGGTGTAACAGGTGTTTTGGATATATTCTTAGAAGTGCTTTTGCTGGATTATATGGTATGCAGATTTTCAGTTGTTTGAGTGTTCTCCATTCTGATTTCTACAGAGGCTGTACCCCCCAACAGTGGAGTAGGTTTCCCTTTTCCCCACATCCTCGCCAGCAAGTGTTGTTGGTGGTTTTTTTGTATGTGAGCCATTCTTACTGGTGTTAGGTGGTACCTCATTGTTGTCTTAATTTGGATTTCCCTTATTGCCAGAGAGCTTGAGCATTTTTTCATGTGTTTGTTTGCCATTTGGGTTTGTTCCTTTGTGAAATGTCTGCCCATTTCCTGTGCCCATTTCTTGAGTGGTTTGTTTGTTTTGGTGTTTTGGTTGTTCTGGAGATCTTTGTATATTCTGGAGATTAGCCCCCTATCACCTATGTAGTGTGCAAAGATCTTCTCCCATTCTGTGGGTTGCTTTTTTACTTTGTTGATTGTTTCCTTTGCTGTACAGAAGCTTTTTGGTTTGATGTAGTCCCATTTGTTTATTTTGGTCTTGATTGCTATTGCTTTTGGTGTTTTGTTTAGGAAGTCAGGGCCTACACCTAAATGTTGTAGGGTGTTTCCAACATTTTCTTCTAAAAGTTTGAAGGTTTCTGGATGCAGGTTTAGGTCTTTTATCCATTTAGATTTGATCTTAGTGTATGGTGAAAGATGTGGGTCTATCTTCTTGTTTCTGCAGGCTATCAACCAGTTGTCCCAACAGCATTTATTGAAGAGACCTTCCAATTTCCCTGGATTGTTGTTTGTTTTTTGTCAAAGATTATTTGGCTGTATCTGTGTGGTGTATCTGTTGCTTCTATTCTACTCCATTGCTCCTCCTCTCTATTGCTGTGACAGTACCAGGCTGTTTTGATAACTACCAACCTATAGTATGTTCAGAGGTCTGGAATTTTGATTCCCCTGTTAACTTCCTATTCTTCAAAATGGTTCTGGCTATTTGTGTTTTTTTTTTTTGTGTTTCCAGATGAACCCTTGTATCATTTTTTCCAGTTCTATGAAGAATGTTTTGAGTAATTTGATTGGGATTGCATTGAATGTATATATTGCTTTTGGTAGTATGGACATTTTAATGATATTGATTTTACCTATCCAGGAGCATGGGATGTTTCTCCATCTTTTGAGGTCTTCTTCAATTTCTTTTTTAAGTTTTTTGTAGTTTTCTTCAAAGAGGTCTTCTACATTTTTAGTTAGGTTTATTCCTAGATACTTCATTTTCTTCTCTGTTATTTTGAACGGTACCCTGCTGGTTAGATCTTTTTCCATCTTGGGGCTGTTTGCATACACTATGGCTGTTGATTTTTGTTCATTTATTTTGTACCCTGCCACCCTACCAAACTCTTATATAAGTTCTAGCAGTCTCTGTATTGAGTCTCTTGGTTCTTCTATATATAGGATCATGTCGTCTGCGAATAGTGAGAGCTTGACTTCTTCATTTCCCATTTGAATTCCTTTGATTTCTTTTTCTTGTCTTATGGCCTCTGCGAGTACCTCTAGGACTATGTTGAATAGCAGTGGTGATAGCAGACATCCTTGTCTTGTTCCAGATCTCAGTGGAAAGGGTTCCAATTTTTCTCCATTCAGTATGATGCTGGTGTTGGGTTTTTCATATATTGCTTTGATTATGTTGTGGATTGTTCCTTCTATGCCTGCCTTGTTTAGAGTTTTTAGCATGAAGTGGTGTTGGATTTTGTCGAAAGTTTTTTCTGCGTCTATCAATACTATTATATGATTTTTGTTCATCTCTCTCTCTCTCTCAAAGGTGTTCCCCTTTCGGGGAGCAGGCTCTGGGATCCCCTGCTTGGCCACCACCTCTGCCCAGGTCACCCCTAAGTTCAATATCACCACCCATACTGGGGCCTCCAGCACTTCCATGGCTGCCGCTGCTATTGGTGGGGGTACTTGTAAAAGATTCTTCCAACTGCCTTTGTCTTCTCTGGGTCGGCTGAGACTCCCGCCAGCCTTCCCCCTGCCTGGGATTGTGACTCACCAAATTTCAAACGGGTTGCTGCCTTCCCTTCCTTTTTATTTTTCTAGCAGCTTCTCCAAGTTGCGTGGATCCTCCTGATTCCGCAATGTCCTGGGAATTTTGCGCACCTCTCCCTGCAATTCTATGCTTTCCTTGCTTGCTTTTCCGCCATGTTCTGTCCCTCTCTCTCTGCACTCTCCTTTACACCAACCCTCCGTGGTCGGCCATCTTTCCTTTTTTTCACTTTTTATCTTTGTAAATCTAGTGTTTGCCTTAATAAAATACAAATGGGTTCGTTTACATGCTTGTGCTTCTGTAATGATATTCTGTTCTAACTGAAGTATTTGGAGAAAAAAAAAGGTCTCACACAGATGTGTGAATTATACAGGAAAGGCTATTTTAATACGCCTCATAGGTTATTGTGAATATTTTTGGTTAACCCTACTGGGCCAATGATTTTCTCAAAGATTACTCAGAATATGGGATGTGAAACCATGCTACAGCGTATGAACAAAATATTGGAAATTTATTCAACAAAATCTAGTCTTACTTTTTAAGAGAATAAGATCCATCATTCAATTTCTATTTTTTTTCTTTCTGAAATGTACCCAAGTACTCTCCAATTTATGTTCGTTCCGTTTATGTAGCAAAGATCCTTATCAATGGTCAGATTTTTCTAAATCATTTTCTGCTGGAATAATTCAAAAATGGAATTCTGTTCCTAAAGACCTTTATTCAATGAGAGGAAAAATATTTCTCATCTCAACGACGTCTCAGAAATGGCTCAAAGGGAAGTCATTTCTACAAAAAAGGAATTGAGGATTGCTAAGTTATATAGATACAAAGAGATGAAAATATCTGTTAGTATATTACTTCTTTAAATATATGTGTTTCTGACTTATACTTCTGTTTGTACCCAGCTATTCTTTCTTGATGGGGATTCTCATTTATTTGTTTTTGTTTTATTTGAAATGCAGAGAGAGAGAGGGAGAGACATGTAGAGAGAGATATTCCAGCCTCATTCACTCCGTAAATGCCCACAGCAGGCAGGGCTCAGCCAAGAACCCAGAACTCCATCTGGTTTACCCTATAGGTGACAGGGACTCAAGGACTCACGTGAGCCATCACTGGTTGCCTCTCAGGATGCATATTAACAAGAGGGTGGATCAGAAGCACAGTAGTAAGGACTTGAACCAGGCACTCTGAAATGGGATTCAAGCATTCTAAGGGCACCGTAATCACTGTGTCACATGCCTCCCTGCTGCTTAAGAATTAGTCAGTGAAAATCCAACCCTGCTGATGTTTAGGTCTGCCATCTTCCTGTTGCTCTGGGGAGCTTTCTCGCTTGATGCCTGCTACCTCTGAGTTCTTCATATGTGTGCAGCAGGTGGGATTTGCATCCTGCGTGTGCCTTCATTCTGTTCTGTTCTAATCATTCATGTACTCGGGCATTGCATTGTGACTTTTCACAGCTGTGAATAAGATTTGGTTTCTGCTCTTTAAAAAAAAATCACAACCTAGTGGGATGAAATAGTGATTTCATCAAATCAATAACTGAACCAGAGAAAACGGGTCCAGAAAGGGTAGAGAAGGGCAAAGAAAGAGATCACTGTAGGAGTATTGGGGAAAATGTCATGGAGAAAATTACATTTGGTGCTGGACTTGCTGGGGAGATGGGAGTTTGCCAGAAAAGGCAAAGGGCACTTCAGATCAGGTGAACAACATGTGCAGAAGCCTGGGAGTGGTGAAAGCTCATGAAATGTCCTGAAAGAAGGAGTTTATTATGTTTGGATCATAGAGTGAGCACCATGAGGTGGCAGGAAATGAAGATGTAGCTGAGTTTGGAGAACTATACGGCCTGTGGGGTCACAGTGGTAGTTGTTGCCATTGCTAAGGTCTACAGAGGGGATGGGGAAATCAAGAAGGGCCCATGATCCAGATGACTTCAAAACAGGTACAAATCACCAAGACAGAAATAAAATGAAAGCAGAACACACACTCTTTCTGCCATACTCATCAGCTAACATGCAGCTGACCAGCTCTGATGTTTGCTGTGGTTTTCTTTCTCAGCAGGTTTTTAGGAGTGTCAGTAATTGAGAAACCGTAAGGAACTTATGTAATATAGCCTGATTCATGGCAGCATGGTCCAAATCCCATATGGAACATGGGCCTTCCTGTTGTTGCCTCAACTGACTTCATATGAACAGTTACATGGAGACGTCTGTCCACCGCAAAGAAGCCCTCCCAGATGCCAACTCACTTTTAGTGTGAAAATCCATACCTGCAGTTAGTTAGGAAGGGTTTGGCCAGAAAGTATGAGTATGACATCCAGAAAACTATGGAGATTGTGATTTTTGTTCTTTCTGAAAACGTGGTAGAGGGGAGGGTATTTGGCATGGCAGTCAAGTCCCCACATGGGACTCGCTCATCCCATAACTGATGAGTCTGAGTTGTGCCGCTTGCTGGTGAGTTGCACCCTGGGAGGCAGCAAGTGATGGCTGCACTTCCTTAGCCCACCCATCTTGGTGACGTAACGTTTTTGAGGCTTCCTGGCTTCTGTCTGATCCAGTTCTGACTGTTGTAGGCATTCGGGGAATGATCTTGGGTTGGAAAATATTTCTCCATCTGTTTTTCCTTCTCTGTTTCTGCCCTTCAAATAAAATTATTAATAAAATTAAAATTAAAAATTTTAATATGGTAGGTTAAGCATTGAGTTCATCCCCCACCACACCCCCCCAAAAAAAGTCTGTTTGGGCGTGTAAAGTGTGATGGGAATACTGTCTCTCCAAGTTCTGTCCAACTCGAATGTTCCCCTTGTTTGACAAGACCATCCTCTGGAATCTCTGTCAGCCCAAACCCTATAATTTTTGCAGTCTTCCTTCTCTGCATCTTGCTGTGGCCTTCTAGAAGCTAACCATGTCTCCCTGAGTGCATCCTCTTTTTGACTGCCCTGCAGAATAATTATGGATGGAGCTGGAAAGATACAGATACGGAATCCCTCACGGAAAGAACAAGGAATATATGAATGCAGTGTGGCTAACCATCTTGGTTCCAATGTGGAAAGTTCTTCTGTGCTGTACGCAGGTAAGGCCCATGCTTAAAACCTAGAATGTGTATCTTTGTATAGTTCTTGACACTGAACTCCAGAGGAGCAGATTGCACATGTCAGTGTGTGCCGGAACACCCTGGAGGGCTTGGTGAAGCTTGGGCTGCAGGTGCTGCCAGTCGCAGGTTTGAGGTGGAGCCTGAGGCTTTGCGTCTTTAACGTGCTCCTCGATTCTGTCTGTGCTGCCTCTCTGGGGAATCTCACATTGAAAATGGCCACTCTGGAGCTGGCTTAAAGAATCAGGAATGAATGAGGCGGGGTCTAATCAGTGGTGTTGATGTAACGGACCACATTTTGAAGTTCCACCAGTCAAGGAGAGAGAATTATCTCCTTTCAGGGTTAGCTTTGGCATAGTCACCAATCCTTAAAAACCCCTGCAGGGTGCTGTGATTATTAAGTTAGGATACAGAAGGTAAACAATGCCATTTTTATATGAACAATGTCAAAGGAACATTTGGCAAAGGAACATTTGTTTCAGGGCTAAGATGGGATGAAGTTTGCTTCCTTGTGGTGAGCTCATGTTGTGGTACTAAAATATAAAATACAAACACACATGCCCCAACTCTAGTTTGTGGCTCAGAGAAGAGAGAGAATGTCGGGCACTAAATTTCAGCATTTAGCTAACTAAGTGCTAATGCCCTTCACTAAGGGTCAGCTGGTTGTAGAAGCTCCTTGCATCTGTTTAACTTGGGGGTTCTGAGTCCCTTCCCTAGCTGCCTTCCCTAGGCAGGGCCCTCAGTCCCTACCTTGATCCTTTAGGTGTGTTCTGTTCTATGAGTGTGCATTGGTTCAAGAACTACGTCATTTCCAAGGTTCTGGAACTTCTGGTGGGGATGGGGCCTCAAATGCCCCTCTCCAATCCCACCAGACTCAGAACAACAACTCAGACTTAATGAAGTCTTGCAGGAGCCACAGTACAACACTGTGACTCCCCCAAAGCCACGCCCCAGCCAAAGCCTTCACACCTTTCTAGTTTTTAAGATAGCTTCACATTGCCTCTGGCATTCCAGAACAGAAGGGAACTGCTGGTCATCCCAACCTGTGCAGAAGGCATCGTGGCCAGCCCAGATGGCTGAAGTGACATCACCCCTTCTGGCACTGACTGTGCAGGTGAAATGGTCAACTAAATACCCACAACCTCCCCCCCCAGAGCTCACATTGACAGCAGAGGATCAAAGTCACTGCCAAGTGTCCTTCCTGACCCCCTCATGCCACCACTGGGCAACGAGCCCCCTTCTCTATGTCATCACCACCATGCTATGTCGTCTTGGTGCCAACTTTGTGTCCCAGCTCGGGCACAGAGTATGCTTCCCGAATGTGCTGCTGAATTAATCTATTAATTATCAAAACCCCAAGGACATGAAAAGCCTTAATAGAGTCTAACCTCTTCGTGGCCTCTCTTTTTAAGATTTTTTTTTGTCCATTCAAGTAATTGTTTCACATTAATTAAGTTGCCAGTTTTGAATTTCCCTTGCAGATTATTCTAATTCCCATATAATAACCTCACACTGCTCAGAAATTGGGCACTTGATACATTTTCCCCTTTGAGACTTTCTGCAATGAATAAAGATGTAAATAATATTTTCACTGGATCTTTTTATGGTTAGTAGCCTCTAGATAGAAAGGGCTTTTCTATTTGGGACTGTAATAGATTTATTTAAGAAAAAGCCTCTCTGAACCACACATTGGATGAGAGAACTGGATTTGGAAGAAATTAAAGAGATCTAGTTTGGGTTTTTTTTTTTTTTTCCGTTTTACTTGAACTAGAAGCCTAGAGAGGGAAGATTTCCACCAAGCATACACAGACAAGCTTCTTAGACGTTCAACAAGAACCTACTAATACAACTTTGAAAGAGTTTTGAGTCCTAGTTTTATTCTGGCATTGATGTGTCAGTCTGACTCTGGCACAAAAACCTCCTAAGGGATGTGTTTGGGATCACATTTACATTTTAAGCACCTGCTTGCATCTCTTTCTGTACTGAAGCATGTGTCATTTAGGAACAGGATGCCTCTTAGATTGTTATCCAGTGCAGATAGCTGCAGAATTCTGCAGAATGACAGAGCTGACAAAAGCCCTCTTCCCCATCTCCATCTGTCCTCTCTCCCAATACCTCACGTACCTCATCCCAATAAGAAATCAGATGGCCCCCTCCCTGGTGTGTGCTGTCCTTGTGTTAATATACCTAAGGTGCATGGTAGAGATGTTTTTTCATGCCCAGTAGGAATTTTTTTTTTTTTTGCCTTTTCTGGATGTCTTAATTCCTTTTTTTTCAAAGCATCCAAGAGGAATTTATCCTCAGCTTTAATTCTAAAGCCAAAATTTCTAGGCAGTTTTTTTGCAATCCTCATCCATCTATCCATCCATCCACCCACTATCCATGTGTCCAGGGAGCACCTGCAGCTATGTTTGTGTAATTCCGTATGGTGCACCATTAAAGCTACAGAGAGAGTCTACCCTGCCTGCTTTCAGAAAGCTCAGCTATGTTTACCAAAGAACTACAACCCAAACTTAACACAGCTTTCTACTTCCTTTGACTCAAGAGGCCCCAGTCATCTTGTCTATTGAAAAAAACACCACGAAGCCGGCACACAAACATCTGTCTGTAGTGGTCGGAGGCCTCGTAGAGGCAGCCCTTCAAGCAAATGTGACAATCCAGTGTCCTGTGAGAGGTAAGTGTAGTCACTCCCCAGGGGAGGGTGCACAGCCAGTCCAGTGTTACCAGGAGATGCTGGTTGCATTTTAATGTTCCACATCCCAGTCTGATAGGGATTTTCAGGAGACCAAATACTCCTATCTGCTCACAAGAGTGATGTATAAAATACAAGGCCAGTTTGTTCATTTCCGGTGTGGACGGTGACTGCCACTTATGGTGCAGTGTTCATGCAACAAAAGCTGAACTCTGTCCATGTGAGTGGATCCATAGGAGAGATCAATTTTTAATCAGGTGGTTGCTCAGTGACCACATGGAGCCCAAACAAGATTTGTCTGAAATTGTTAGATGTATTTTCCAAGTCGATAGAAAAGCCATGCGGACAAAGCCACATCGGGAAGCAGGAATGTTAATGTCCCCTGACTTGCGTTTTACTTTGGGTTGCCAACAGCAGCCAGTGCCACAGTGGCTGCAGTTACATGGTAGACAAACCAGTTGTAGCAGACATCTTCTTCTCTAGTATTATTATCAGATAGGATAAAATAATACTTTCTGTCTGACTTGGCCATCGCAGAAGGCAATTCTGTGGTTAAACCATGAATTCTTTTTTTTTTAATGATTTATTCATTTTATTACAAAATCAGATATACAGAGAGGAGGAGAGACAGAGAGGAAGATCTTCCGTCCGATGATTCACTCCCCAAGTGACCGCAATGGCCGGTGCTGTGCCGATCTGGAGCCAGGAACCAGGAACCTCTTCCAGGTCTCCCACGTGGGTGCAGGGTCCCAAGGCTTTGGGCTGTCCTCAACTGCTTTCCCAGGCCACAAACAGGGAGCTAGATGGGAAGCTGGAGCTGCTGAGGTTAGAACCAGTACTCATATGGGATCCCGGCGCATTCAAGGCAAGGACTTTAGCTGCTAGGCCATGCCGCCGGGCCCTAAACCATGAATTCTTAAGTCTTCACCTGAGCCTGTACATCAGCCAACTTTCAGTAAGCATCACCAGGGAAGTTAAGAAAGCTTGTGGAGAATGATATTGAATGATCAGTTTTCTTTTGTGCAAAAAGACTTTTGAAATCTATGCTTGTGAGTGGTCTTCAAAAGGTGCATGAAAATGTATATTATGATCAAAAAAAGAGTAGGCATGGGTCCTATAAATGGTTTGCAGCCCCCACAAAAAAAAACATATCTTTTAGTCCTAGCTTCCGGGAACGTTTGAAGTGTTCTAACGTAGACTGCATCCATGGACATTTGCAGGAGCCAGGAGGGGTGGAGGTGAGTGGGTGTGTGCTTAGCTTTTAATCAGTACTTTAGAGAGACTTATTCATTTTTCAAAGGAGACATGCGTCATGTTAAGATGACTGTGTGTATGGCCTTTGGTGTTGCTGTGTGCTGATTGAACACTGTGGACCACGATATTTGCCTAGTTTCCAAATTCTAATGCAATGTCTGTGGTAGCAGCCCCTTTGAATGCATCTTGCCTAGGCTGAGACCCAGACAGCAGAGGGTGCCTGGTGGAGGCTTCCATGCTGCTCCTGGGGGCAGCAGTGCAGTTTTTAGGCTCCTTTTCCTCCATCATGATCAGTTATTTTCCATGTTTCTAACTTCCATAAACAGTAGAGAAATTTGCCTACCCTCAAACTATTATTTTTTTTTTCATCCCTGGAGTGTTTGGCTTATGCCATTAAAAAAATCGCTTCAGGCTCCCAACTGACTCCACCCACAAGTATGTGAGTTCTCTGGCAAAATACACCTGCGATTAGGGAAGAATGACCACAGCAAAATGAGAAGCAGAACAGAGCAGTGCCAAGCCACAGATATGTAAAGTTCCCATGGCCCCACACCTGCAGAGGATTCTGAAATGCAGCTTTGGCTTTTATTAGGAGAAACGCCCACTTGCTTTTTTTAAAACAACACATAAAAGCGGTACACATTTATGGGGTACCGTGTGATTTTTTTATGTTTGTGTTAATGTGTAATGTCTATTTCAGAGTCTATGTATCTGTCCGCTCAAACATTTATCACTTCTATGGAGTGGAAACCCTTCAAGCATTCCTCTCTCTGGTTCTTTGTTTTATTTCTTTAAGAAAATTATATAGTATGTTACCATTATCTTTAGCCCCAGAACTTGTTACCATAACTTAGTACCTCTCATCCCAGCCTTCTTCCTCCGTTACTAATCCTGCAGATGTTCCCCCAATGATGTAGAGAGTGATGTGCCATTTTTCAAACATTTTCAAAAATATTTGAAGACTGGCTCTTGGAAAAGGAGCAGTGGGAAGGATTAGGATGTTTTATTTGCTCTCAAGTTGGGGTTGGGGTGGGTAGACACAGAGTGGGAAAAGCCTCTGGCAACATCTGAGAAACCTGTCTTGGCTTCGTTTTCTCATCGAAGCCCAACAAGCCCAAGCACAGCCTGGGCCTTCTCCCAACCCGCAGGATGCCAGCAGTGCCCCCCTGCCCTGCATGGCCATGTCACGGGCCCAGGGCCCAGCTTCCTCCTTCCCAAAGGCCAGCAATGAAGAACCCCGCATACTCTGCCTCCATCCTCCACTCTGACTGGGGAATTATCCCATTCTGACTTTCTTGGTCTGACAACGTCCACTGTGGACTCAGTCCAGATCTCCCACATGGGCATCAGGAACCCAACTCCTTGAAGGCTTTTGTTTGTTTGCTTAATTACTTCATGTTGTTTTATTTCTGCGCTGCTTGAACAACCTTATACTGAGCTTACAGTGCTTCTGATGAGCTAACTTAGCCTTCGGTGGACAGGTGGAGAAGCTGACAAAGGATCAGAAGGCTGGAATTTTACAGAGAATTCTGTCCCTGCTGGCATGTGAGCATTAGCAAGCCATGCATCTTTCTCACTGTGACCTCTGCAGCAGGAACTGTACTATATTCATGAAAGAAGGGGCATCGTTTGCCATCTTGTCCGGTCCCTTGTTTTATAGACAAGGGTATGAACACACAATTTCTGTTTTAAAAAACATGTTTCCTTATTTCTTTGAGAGACAGAGGGAGAAATGAGATAGACAAGAAGGAGCTCCTCTAGACTGGTTCACTCCTGAGTGCCTGCAATAACTGGGGCTGGGCAAATCCAGAAGCCAGAAAGTCGATCCAAGCCTCCCATGGGAGTGACAGGGACCCAATGGCTTGATTCGTCCACTGGGCCTCCCAGGATTGGCATTCGCAGGAAACCACAGTCAGGAGCCAGAGGTGGGTGTGTAACCCAGTCTGATGTGGGAGGTGGGCGCCTTAGCCACAAAATTTAAAACTGCCTTACAGAGTATCTTTATATTGCACATTGGAATTTTTGCAAATCAGTGACATATATGCTTATGATGAAGTCACCCTTAAAGTACTTCCTGCTAGTTATTAGAAACTTTTTTTAGCACACATCCATAGCTTTTAGACACATTTCTGTTTCCGTTTTAACAGCCAAATGTTTCATTCAACTGGTGTTGAGAGCATTAATGATGATCCCTTTTGAGGGATATCTTTAAGAGCTATGTTAACAGAACCTGAAAATCTTTCTCTGAGGATTAAATGCTCTAAGTTGTAAGAGTTACTTATTTTGCCCTTAAACAAAAAAGGTTTACCCTAAGAATGGCTGGGGTCGAGGGCTGAAGCACACCCATTCAGGCACCTTCAGGTAATGAAAAAAAAGCTCCAATGAGGAAAATCACCCATGAATATCAATAGCTCCATGGTTTGCATTTGCTCATGCTAATGCATAGTTAGACCACAAATGTACCCTTCCCTTTTCTGTTCCGTGTGTGTTCTGCATTGGTTTTTTTCTTTATTCCGTATGCTCCTCAGAGATGTACCTCTTGAGAGTTCCTGGTTCTGGAGATGTCAGGCTCCTCTTCAGACTCTAAGAATCTGTCACACACACACACACACACACACACACACACACATACACGAATCTGTCACAGAATGAGGGTGACTATGGAAGATGCTAACTCCCAAATGAATGGCACTGGCAAAGCCATCTGCCACCCAGCCCACCCAAAATTTCTTTTTTTAAAGATTTTTTTTAAGATTTATTTATTTTTATTGGAAAGGTGGATATACAGAGAGGAGAGGCAGAGAGGAGGATCTCCTGTCCAATGATTCACTCCCCAAGCAGCCGCAACAGCCGGAGCTGAGCCAACCCGAAGCCAGGAGCCTCTTCTGGGTCTCCCATGCGGGTGCAGGGTCCCAAAGGCAGGGTCTAGCAGGGAGCTGGATGGGAAGCAGGGCCGCCAGGATTAGAACCGGCACCCATATGGGATGCCAGTGTGTTCAAGGCGAGGACCTTAACCACTACACTATCGTGCCGGGCCCTAAAGATTTTTTTTATTTATTGAAAAGGCAGAGTTTACAGAGAGAAGAAGAGATAGAGAGGGAAAGATCTTCCATCCACTAGTTCACTACTTGAATGTCCAGAGCTGAGCCAATCTGAAACCAAGAGCCAGGATTCTTCTGGGTCTCCCATGTGGGTGCAGGGTCCCAAGGCCTTGGGCCATCCTCTACTGCTTTCCCTGGCTGGGAAATGGAGCAGCCCAGGACATGAAGCAATGCGTATATGGGATCCCAGTACTTGAAGGTAAAGATTTGGCTGTTGAGCTACAGCACCAGCCCCAAAGTATGCAATTTTTTAAACACAAGGTACCCCGGACAGCTCCTCATTAAAGCAATGTGAAGCAACCTGGAAGAGTTGGAGAAGTTTCAAAATTACAACTAAGTTGAAGAATGAAAGCATACTATGATGTGAGCTGCAGAGTCTTGGTCCAGGCATCTGTGGGTGGAGCATGATATCCTACCAGGCAGCTGGTAGGTGGAGGACACATGTGCGGAGAACACAGCAGGGCAGGTGCTTGCAGTGCTACTTAAGCTGCTGCTTGGGACATCCGCATCCCACCTCACAGAACCTCCTTTAGGTCCTGGTTAGGCTTCGTGTTCCAGCTTCCTGCTAACATGCACCCTTGGAGGCAGCACATAGTGGTTCTAGTGCTTGGGTCCCTGCTACGTTGT